GCATGCGCGTAAAAATAATGAATGGGAAGAGATTCATTGATATATTTGACCAATCATACAATAGTACAGTAAATAAAAATAATCTACGATAGGTTACAACTAGCAAGGTGTGCTAAGCAGCCATCTTGTTTCTAGATAAACAAAAAATCGCTGTCTCGTTCGTTTACATCGTTTGCGTGTACTCTTCTATTTGTTGTTTTAAAGTTATACAACAACATTAAGTTTAATAATTGCAACTTTGCCAAGAAATGTATTGTTGATTGTCACTGGAACACTATTAAGCACTGTTTCGTACGCTTTATACTAAGCTGAAACAATGCGTCATGGACATGTCCGTCAGTTTGAAGAATGTACTGTCCAACCCCTTTATCCCCCTCATCCTTTTCTCGCCATTCAACCAACGGCCGGTTTATAATCTTGTTACGGCATGCTGTGACAGACTTGAACGCACTCATAAGACTTTACATCGGACTGTATACGACACATGTGTTAATGTGTATGCCCATCCCTCCGTATAGGGTTTGCTAGCAACGAATGAAAATACTAGATGAGATAGCTGATAAGCATTCACTTAGGCCCTGTACTTGACCCTATCTACACAGATGTGTTATTCATGGTTGAATGAACATTGGTAATCTATGGCTAATCAGTTCTTCACGCACTATCCTGCGGTGGGGTAGGGTGGAGGAGCGTTCCTAGCCTTAAGAGTTGTACCCAGTTTTGTGTAGTAGGCTATTATCATACGGCAATAAACTTGTGTAAGCTACAATTTAAGTAAGGGAAGACATTGTATTGAAGTGAGAAGACCAGCTGACAAACAAAACTTAATCTGGTTTGATGATAGATATTCTGGGAATAACAATCGAATAATAGGATGTGTAAGACTTAATAGTCATTAATTAATTACCTGTTGTATGCATATTTTCTGCTTACACAGAAAAATCTATCTAAAATTTACAACATAAATAAACGCGTATTTTGTTAGCCAAATGGTTCTTCCACACATAAAATAAAGAAGTCTTTTTCTGTTTTCTATAAGAGGAAACGCACAGTGCCCTTTTCCGCTCTTCTTTTCACGTTTTCTCAACTTTGCATTTTTACTCAAAATTTAACATTCAAATCGCTAAGGCTTTGGAACCCTTTATCATACAAGACTGAAACATTCATATGCATTAAGTATTATACCATCTACAAACTACGTTTATACACTAAGTTTACTACAATACTTTAGAAAATATTGATATGTATGTGGCACTACCCCTTTATGTTTCTACATACATTTACGTATAAATTTGTATAAAAAATTGAGTACGAGCTATCGCGATGAACAAACGTAGAAATGTGTAGTTTGGTTTGAGAAATCTAAATCTTTCATCCGCTTTTAAAAATTTCTTACTGGAACAAAGTTATAGAGGTTTGAATAGGTGTTAGTTTTCACACATTTTCGCGGTTTCCATGGCAACCAGTACTGCTGTGTTTTCTTTATGTTTGAGTTTGGGTTTGGGCTTGGGTTTGGGTTTGGGTTTGTTTTCGTTTGCTGTTTTTCTTTGCGGTTTGTGTTTTCGTTTGCTTTTTTATTTGCGTTTGTGTATTCTTTGTGTTTATAGCTGTGTTTGTGTTTGCTTTTGTGTTTTCGTTTGTGTTTGTATTTGTATTTGTGTTATGTTTGCGTTTTTTTTATTTGTTTTTTATTGTTTTGGTTTCGTTTGGTTGTGGTTGGGTTTGTGTTTGCGTTTAAATTTGTTTTCGTTTGCTTTGTTGTTTGCGTTAGTGTTTGTGTTTTCTTTGTGTTTGTGGTTGGGTTTGTCTTTGCGTTTGTTTTTGTGTTTTCGTTAGTGTTTGTTTTGTGTTAGTGTTATGTTTGCGTTTTTGTATGTTTTGGTTGGTTGTGGTTAGGTTGTGCAATGCCGGGTTTATGCTGATTACTAAAAACACAAGTTATTGTCCTTTACAGATACGTTTTTCAGAGATGCCAGTGCAGGGCCTGGCCGGGACGGCCAGTATAAATTACGATTTAAGTTGTTTTTTGTCTCTATTATCAATGACGTTATTGTTATAGTATATCGTTCTCGGCAATCAATTCTTAATTATTTTTTTATTAAAAAATCAATGACGCCTTTCTATTTTGTAAATAGACGTTAAATTTAGACATTACCACAATACTCTATATGGTAACCTTGATCTATACATAGTTACTGCACATTGATACCAAATATAATCGTAGTCATAACCCCAAATATTGTACATAAACTTAAACAAAATGCGCATTCAGAATTTCTTTGAGGCATCTCATCGGGAGGGAGAGAAAATATAATTTACATAGAAAATTTTAACAGTTTCCGCACCTCTCCACCCTCCAACCCCCCCTTGAAAATGTATTTCCCTTTTTGAGAGAAAAATCTGAAAGAAACACTCGCTGCATTTGTTCTTCATACAGACTAAAGGTGGACCGAATATCTGTAATCTAGACCCTTTTCCTACTTCTGACCGCTAAACCTCAACCATGCTAACAGTGTTTCTTTCGGACTTTTACGTAGAAAAAGCGGACAAATATGCCGGGGGAACATTTGATATTTTGCGGGGGTTGACTATATTCTTGGTGTGGGGGTCGGTTTGGGCGGATATTTGCAAAGGTATGTCTTTTCTATGTAAAGTGTATTTTCTATGTAAAGTTTTCATCATATAGCTTGTATACTTCCCCTCGATTGTTCCCTTAGAGAACTTATCTGCCTCACTTCAACATATTACAACGTCGTAATCCCTAACTTACTAATGTCTGTATATATATGTTACGGTCAAAGCCCGAAGTTGGCCAAAGCGCGGATTGGTCGGCCAATGCGCGCATTGGCCAATATTGCCTCCCATTGACCGGCCAAAGCACGAAACTTTACTTCATTTCGGCCTTTGGCCGGCCAATCCGCGGACTGGCCATGGTGGACCGGCCAAAGTCTGAAATGGCTTTGATTTCGGCCTTTGGCCGGCCAGTCCGAATTAGAAGATCATCTGGCTAGGGACAAAGTCCGAATTAGAAGATCATGAGCAGATTTTGGTTTTTTATACCGTAAGGATCATAAAAATTAAGTCTTTGTTGATTATTATTTAGAATTACATTGTTATTTTTACACTTGGAGCGATTTGTTGTGCATTAGATTGTGCAATTGCAGTAAATGTAGTCTTGGCCGCCGGTCAGTGATTGTGAAGATGCGATGGTTCGTAGTGATTTTCCTCAGTGCCAAAGGGTGAGAATGAGAGCAGTTTTTCGTGAAGAATTGAAAACTCACTTCTATCTTATAGTTGTTTAAATACATCATGGTCCGTTCCTAGCTTGTAGAAAGTGCCCTCGACGCTCATGCCAACTGCATTGACGCTTTGGGGATCACCGCGACCTCTGTCAACATCTGGAATATGAATGCTACCAGTATCTTTCACTTCAGCATGTTTAAATTTTGTTAGCATCTTAGCACCTTGAGTTTGCAAGGTAGTATGAGCTGCTGACCTGTTGTACATGGTTTCTTGTTTATTGTGACATATTCTGCGAGCACTGTTCCCTTCATACCCTTTGTCTGCTTCATTGGCTATTCCGCATGTTGCATGGACATCGTTGCCACAGGATCCACAAGAATGGGCCGAACTTCAATATTTCTCACAAACTACAAATAATCTGTTGGCCTTATTATTGTCACGCAGCTGGGCTGGACGTTCCGCCACGGCAGCAGATGTGTTAGCTGAGGGGGAATGTCATTGCATTTATGGCAACCTCCATTTCTTGTTCAATGTTCTCAAGATCTTTCTCAGTAGCTAACGTATCGAGAGCCGCTCTTGGTAGATTTGAAGTGCTAAGTCCCACTTTTGCTTTGCATCCAAACAAGGCTTCGTTTGTTGGATTCCTTGATGAAAATTGCGGTTTTTCATAAGACTCTCAGCCCAATGAGCTGATTCATATGTCTACATCCATGTCATCATCATGTTTTGAACATCTTGGTTGGCAAGTTCTACTGAGCATTGGCTTTGGCTATGCCTTGGTTTTCGGTGAAATAGTTTAAGTTAAGGCCACATGTTCTTTAGTTAAGAAATAACTTGATTCACAAATTCTTTTCCATTAGGATTAGGATTATTTATTTTGGCAGCCATCTGCTATGTCTGTCTCATGGTCTGACGGCCCTTTTGATCCATGTCGCCTTGCATATAGAATGCTATACAAACAAGAGCTAAACAATACGTTACTCACAATGAAACCGCACCCAAAATAATGAAAACGCGATCACAACTTAGTCTAGATAGAACATTGGCCAGGACATCCCGGCCAGTGCGCGCATTGGCCGGCCAATGTACAAAATACGATCTTAGTATTAAGTTCTTGGCCGGCCAATCCGCGCTTTGGCCGCACTTCGGGCTTTGACCGTAATATATATATATATATATATATATATATATATATATATATATATATATATATATATATATATATATATATATATATATATATATATATACGCTTTAAACATCTACAACTTAAATACCCTTCTCGCGTTGCTCCAATTTCCCTCTGTTGAGGGGGAGGCTCTAGACGTTCTTCGGAGAGGGGGATGGAAGCTTCGCCGTCTCCAAAGAAATGGTGAAAGAAACTCTGCATGCACACCACTTTTAAGAAACGACAAATTAACTAGGCGGTTAATGTTAATGTCTTTATTATCAAGTATTGGTGACGTCCTTATTATTATGTATTGTTTTCGGCATTGGAATTCTAATTATATGTTTACTCTTGAATCAATAACGTCATTTTATTTGTCTAGGGCGTTCTTTTCAGACAGACTGACAGAATATTGACATTATTATAATGATTTTTATTAGTATTAGTATTATTTGTGAGTATGTTTATCCTAATATATAAAAGCCCATCTTAGTACTAAAATTATATACTAAATTTGATTTAAAGACGGACATAAAAATAAAAGCATATTCGAATGTAGAACCACACCTTTAATTAAGCAGCCTGAAAAATGTCTATTATAACAGCTGAAGATATTAAAGACTACATAGGTTCAATCTCTGCATTGTCGTCTTGCTCACAATTGATGACTTGGTTAAATGGATTAACGCTGTTGGCAAAAACCTACGATTCGGCAAAACAAAAGGTACTTTTTTTAAATATATAAATTGCTAAAATCTCCAATGAAAAATTCAAATAATATTTATTTGTTTACTTAAACATGGCAACAGGCAATATTTTAAAAATTATTTTCTAACGCATTTTAACTTTTTAACTTTCACAAACTATTTTCAGATTGTCGATCATTTTTCGTTTTTTAAAGACATGCTGAATTCCGAGATCACTGCATTTCATAAACCAATAATGGACTGTTTAAAAGTTCTATCAACCAGTAAAGTAACAAATACTCATATAGTACGTGATTCAGAACTTGTGGAAGCACTTGACGATCTGAGAACAAGCAATAGTTACAACATATATGCAAGTGACGCCAAGGAAGTTTTATGGAACTCCAGTAGAGAAAGCGGACAAATCCCTATATTGCCAAGTACTGTTACATAAAACAAAAAACCTGTTTAATTATAACTAAAAAGTGTTATAATTTGATAATATATAATAATGAAAGATCAGATTATTTATATAACTTAATAATAACAAATACATTTTAGGTAAAACTAATGTGGTAAAATTATGCATGTACTGTGTTAATATAACTTCGAAAAACTCAGCTAAGCCTATATTATTATTCTTACGGACACATAATGTCCCAAATTATAATATCACCCTATATTTAATAACCACAGAAATTGAATAATTATGGCAACATTGACCTTGGTTAAGGCCTGCTATTAATCGAACTAACGATGCATATTATATATATGGTACAGTCAAAGTCCATTGACTGGCCAAAGTCCAAAACTTTACTTTATTTCGGCCTTTGGTCGGTCATTCCGCGGACTGGCCATGGTGGACCGGCCAGTCTTAATTAGAAGATCATCTGGCTAGGGACAAAGTCCGAATTAGAAGATCATGTGCAAATTTTGTTTTTTTTTATACCGTAAGGTTCATAAAAATCAAGTCTTTGTTGATTATTATTTGGAATTACATTGTTATTTTTACATTTGCAGCCATTTGTTGTGCACTAGGTTGTGCAACTGCAGTAAATGTAGTCTTGGCCGCAGGTCAGTGAAGATGCAATGGTTCGGTTAAGACTCTTAGAATTGAAAACTCACTTCTAGCTTATAGTTTTTTAAATACACCATGTTCCGTTCCTAGCTTATAGAAAGCGCCCTCGACGCTCATGCCATCTGCAATGACGATTCGGGGATCACCGCGACCTCTGTCAATATCTGGAATACGAATGCGACCAGTATCTTTCACTTCAGCTTGTTTAAATTTCGTTAGCATCTTAGCACCTTGAGTTTGCAAGGTAGTATGAGCTGCTGACCTGTTGTACATGGTTTCTTTTTATTGTGACGTATTCTGCGAGTACCGTTCTCTCCGTGCCCTTCGTCTGCTTAGTTGGGTATTCCGCATATTGCATGGACATCGTTTCCACAGGATGCACAAGAATGGGCTGCACTACAATATTTTTCACAAACTATACAGAATCTGTTGGCCTTATTATTGTCACGCAACTGGTCTGGACGTTCGGCCACGGCAGCATATGTGTTCGCTGAGGACGTCGTTGCATTTATGGCAACCTCCATTTCTTGTTCAATGTTCTCAAGATCTTCCTCAGTAACTATTTTATCGAGAGCCTCTCTTGGTAGATTTGAAATGCTAAGTTCCACTTTTGTTTTTGATCTTAGTTGGCACGTTCTACTGAGCATTGGCTTTGGCTATATCTTGGTTTTCTATGAACTAGTTTAAGTTCAGGCCACATGTTCTTTAGTTCAGAAATAACATGATTCACAAAATCTTTTCCATTAGGATTTCGATTATTTATTTTGGCAGCAATCTGGTATGTCTGTCTCTAGATCTGACGGTTCTTTTGGTCCATGTCGCCAAGAGCCAAACAATACTTTACTGACAATGAAACCGCACCCAGAATAATGAAAACGCGATCACAACTTAGTCTAGATATAACATTGGCCAGGACATCCCGACCAGTGCGCGCATTGGCCGGCCAATGTACAAAATACGCTGTCAAGTTTAAGCGCTTCGGACTTTGGCCAGTACATCCATGTATAGGCTATATATAGGAATGTATAGACATTCATAGGTAAACAATTGATTTATAAAAAGCCAAACTCATTCTTTTTTTTCTTGTTAAAATAGATTAGTCTAAATATTAATTTTTTTAATAACATTCTATTTGCAATAAGGGTTTTAATCACACTTTTGATATAATTATTATAGAGGAACTTTTCTCTGTTGACTTTCCTGCCAACTTTGAAATCACCTCTAAACTCGGCCAAGGTTCTTTCGGAACAGTATTTCTTGTACAGGATAAAGAACATCCTGATCTAAAGAAGTTTGTCGCTAAACAAATTAAAATTGACAACATCAAACAAACAACTATGGTAAAATTTTACTCTTGATAAGACTATTATACATTTTTCCAGTATATTTTTAGCCTTGTACATTTTTAATGTCTTGTTTAATTTCTATTTTGATAACATTTTTTAAAATCAGGAAATTATCCCAACTGAAGCAAACATTTTATTAAAAGCAAAACATGAAAGGATTGTAGAGTTTCATGGATTTCAAATAAAAAATAAATCTGTCTTTCTATTTATGCAGTTTATTCAAATGGTAAGGCTTATATTTGTAATCTTCTGTTTTAAATATGACATGTATCTAATACCTTTGGAAAAAATTAACACTTTAGACTTAGTGTCGCCGTCATGTATCAAGATTAAGTTTTCAACACGAGACTAGAAAAAACGGACACTAACAGATCAAGCGATTAAGGTTTATTTTAAAACTTAGTTGTTTTTTTTTTACAATTGAAGAATACTCTACATAGTAAACCTTACTGATTCGATCGAGACAGATTTGAATTAAAAACGCAATACAGACAATGAGCAAATCAACGTTAGTGATAGGAGCAATCACAGTAGTTTTTATATTCCCATTTGTGCCCATGACACCTGGGAGTGATCAAGAAGAGTTTATCTTTTTCAATGACTTTGCCTTATTAGAGATAGTGTGGTCAGCACTCCGTCTAGGCGACTTTGTTTCCGCAATATGAATCTCTAACCTGACAGCGCAGGGAAGTCTTAAAATCTCGAGCTCGATATGTAAACTTGAGACTTCCGGGTTAGCAGTCGTAAGCTTTACCAGACTCTTTCTATACTTTTTCGAAATCTGAATCACTTTCAATTATCTCTTTAAAAATCTTTCTTTGTATCTCTGTTTTCCTCTAGCACTATCGCGCGCTTATTTATACTATTACCTTTCGTTTACGTAGAATGAGAACGTAAACCGTATTGGGTCTAACATTAGTCTTAAAAAGTTGGGAGTAGATTCAATTTGTAATCGTAACACACTCAAGCATTAAAACAAGAAGGGAGCCTAGCTTTTTTGAATGGGCAAGAACACAATAATATACTTTACATGTGGGACAATATGTACCAGATAAATGTTTAGCTTGTAACATAGTGTCACAGATGTAAGTATATTTAATTTAATTAAATACTGTATTAAACTTGGGTGTAATGTTATACTCAATCAAAAGGGATCTCTTGCAAGTTACATACATGAGAAAGGCGGTCTAAATGAACAGAAGACAAGCCTTTTCACAAAGCAAGTACTTGAAGGTCTAAATTACTTGCATCAAGAAAACATCTTACATCTCGATATTAAAGGTAACGATTTAATTACCAATGTGGTTTCTAAAAAAGGAATAACCTTTTTTAATTGCGAAAAATATTCATTTTTGAAAGAGTATGATCAAAATCTCTGTTTAGTAATCAATGAAAAAACAAACGTTCGATTTATGAAAACTGTTCATATCTTTGTAAGCTTCCTATACATTACTAGCCATCGGTACCCTTTACACGTGAATTATAAACGTTATACTTGTTTAAGAAAATTATTTTATAAAGAAAGTAAAAATAGGCATATTGGAGTGGAATGATAAAGAAAATGTTAGTAATTTATTTGAGAGACTGGATGTTAATGCTAAGACCATTTTAATTCTTGATGACTATTGTTGTAAAAAAAACTACAATCAGTGTTTCTTCAAGACTTTTTCTCCGGTGGTAGGGGGGGGCACTTGATATTTTCAGGGGGGGGGGGGCGGTAGACTTTCTTAGGGTGGGTGGGGGGGGAGCTACCCCCCCCCCCCCCGAAGATATGCCTGGAAGAAACTGAGTACCATTGGTCCGGTTTGTCCTTTATTTTGAATTATAACAACACAACATTAATATACGTGACTTTGTTTATACTTTTTATAAACATATGTTATATTTTCTTTAACTAGGTAACAACATTTTACTAGAGAGTGAATTCAGTGTAAAAATAGCTGACTTTGGCCTCTCGAAAATTGTTGAGAAAAATAATGATCCTTTGGTTGTTGAGGAAGGTACAGTTCGATACATTGCACCAGAAGTGATCGCTGGTACTTCGGATACAGAGTACTATTCACGGGCTGACATATGGTATGTGACGATAGTTAATTTGCTTTAACTCTCTAGGATAGGCGACATTTTAAAATGGAATCACAGCAATAATGCTGTCTGCATAGTATATTATTCTAGAGTAGAACTCTACCGAGTAAGGTTACATTTTGCAGTTGTATACCTTTGAATAAAAAACAACTTAAAAATAACTTGTCTCGTAAATCTTACTTGTTTTACTCCGATGGTATTGAGTGCATTATACATGTACTCTAGTTCATTTTATTATAACTATTACATATTAATTTAAACAGACAGAATAAGTGGAACCAATTTTAGTATATTTTTTAGATTGTTATTTCATTCTGTAAACCACAAACATGCAGAGGCGTAGCGACCCTTCCCGGCGCCCGGGGACAAACCCCCCTCGAACTAAGGTCGGCGCCCGGGGACATATGTCCCCCGCCCCCCCCCCCCCCCCCCCTCGCTACGCCTCTGCAAACATGAGGTTTGAAACACGTGAGGGCTTGGACAACTTTCGGGGTTAAACCGCGATGATTTAGTTAGCTACGTCACAATTGGCTTACAACGGTGACATTTTTCAGCGAATACATTAACGCTTTCGTACATTTAAATCTATTACAGGAGTGTGGGCTGTACAGTTGTTGAGATGATAACCAAGAAACCACCCAACGCTTCTATTCCAAGCCCGAAAGCTGTGCTCAATGTCTTTAACAACGAGGATCTTGTATTCACACTCCCCGAGCATTCGTCTAAAGAACTGAAAGATTTTTTAGACAAAACCTTCACCCAGGAACCCAGAAAGAGACCTTCAGCTGAACAACTGCTACAGACGGATCGTTTTCTGCTGGGGAACTTCTAAATTGTCACCCCCACCAGAAATGTGGTTTTCAACATATAAAAAATTGGTGAAATCTAATTCAACAGAATTATTGTAATATATTTACTTCAAGATATGTATCATGTAATTATTATAAATTTCTAGAAATGTATGACATTTTCAAGTTAACCCTTACGAAATACTGTTTTATTATCATCATTATTCACGTGGAGTTTTTGAGTCTAGAGACGCATCCATCGTATTCGATTTTGGACAATTTGTCCATGTCAGGTTCAAAACATTCCGGCTTCTAGTGCATTGCTGACAACCGATAATTTCCGTGTTTCTTTCAGCCTTCCAATTTATCGCTTTCTTGAATATTTCTATCTGCCGGCATGTAGTTTTGCGTCTCGAATTTAAAGACGTTTACGTTTTGTGTAGTGTTTACTCTTATTTAATATGTCCTTACTTTTAAAGTTGAAACTATATCAATTACATGAAAAAATGATAAGTAAGTAAGCTGACTACTGTTTTACTAAACTGTTACATTACACATAATAAATGGCAGCCTATGTTTTCCTGTGTTATGATAATCACATATGGATTTCATATACAAGAGCTGGAAAGACAAATGACCGTTTCACCGTGTCCTTTATTTCATATAGTAAATAAATATTTCGTAAAGTATTATTTTCTTTGCAATTTATCAATAGTTCGATAAATCATCGCCATTTATGTATAATAAATTACTTTTTTTCCTTAAATGTGTTTAAATTCTAATTTTTTTTTTATTACAACAACTTTTAATTTTTTGAAATCGACGGAACTAATATAAATTTAATACATTGTGTTGACTGTATTAGATCATTTGTATTGCATGTTTTATTTAATCAAATCACATTTTAAATCCACACATACATAATTTTATAGTTTAAATTAAAAACGACAATAGTTGCTTTTAGTTTGTGTGCTTTCTTAAGAATGTTTTTTTTTATATTATAATATTATGTAGACGAACATATTTTTTTAAAAATCCACTGTCATTTAAATTTAAAATTTGTTTCACTTTTTTTCTTTATCTAAGGTTAAAACCGTTAATTTGATCTAAATTTAGATCTGTAGTTGAATTTCTTTTTTAATTGAAAGAGGAAAACGAAATCGATCGTTACATCCCTAAGATACAGAGGCGTAGCGAGCGAGGGGGGCGGGGGTGCGAAACGGTCTGGGTGACACCATTTAGGGGGGTGACACCAAGGCAAAAGATAGCAAAATATATAGAGAAAAACTTGAGAGAGGGGGGGGGTGCAAATCGAAAGTTTGTGGGGGGGGTGCAAATTTGAAAGTTTGTCCCCGGGAAGGGTCACTATGTCTGTGGAGGGTGACAGCATTAAATGCCGCACCGGGTGACACCCGACCTCGCTACGCCACTGCTAAGATATACGTAGAAGAAACTGTAATTGACACGAAACAAGTTTTTCCGAAAAATAAGATGGATTTTTGGATTTTGGATTTGCAGAATTATTCTTAACAAATTTTTAAAAAAATTGTCAAAACCATTTTGGGTGTGTACGTATAGTTCAAACCAAAAAGTAAAGAAGTTCGATGTTGGAGGTTTAGTTCAATTGTCTTCAGCTTTCAGCGAGACTAGATTGTCTGCAAGTTTTAGTTTTATAAAATAGCAACAAAAAAAAAACTTGATTAAAAATATTGTTTTAAGAATGACGTTACGTGGGTGTTTACAAAAACGCACCCGCACATTTTGTAGCTGGTAAATAATATGTGATTTAAACAATTACCTTAAACTTTTGAAATAATTAAAAATGAAAATAAACCAAACACATTTTCGTCGAGTTTTTTCTTTCTTTTTTATTGAAATATGGGAGGTAATGGGTTTCGGGTAAACATAAAAAGGAGTCGCTACCAGAGAGTTTGGGAACCTGTGTACTAATCGAACGACACTCAACTGTAGGTGCTGACAGAGTCTGTTAGTTTTTCCTTCTTGTGCGGCTTGCAGAACAACATCTCGAGAAATGTTTCCTTGTACCTCGCGTTCATCATGTAGTAGAGGAAAATGTTCACGCCACAGTTGAACCCACCCAGGACGAAATTAAACGACCAAATAAAGAAAAATAAATTCTGGTAATACCCGGTGATTGACATTCCTTCAACGAGAACACAAACAAACGAAAACACGATACTGGGGGTGGTACAGACAATAAGAATTATAGCTATGATTATAGCTAGTTTTATCGCTTTTCTCTCTCGACGTGACCTAATGTATGACGTGTCACTTACGATCCGACTCCGCTTGCGCTCCCTCTGATGAAGGTGCCAGATAATTAAAGACGTGAAGTAGATCACCAGCACTAACGCTATCAGACCTAACACGGCGTTGATAAGGAACGAGTAAGTGTCAACATTGCCATTGCTCATGAGGTAAATCCCGATTTTCGTGACGTTGCTACGGGGATAGAATTTCCAGCCGTAGTAAGAGGTGGAGTAGCTGGGCAATATCATGATTATAGAGACGAAAAAGATGAAGCTAATGACGATTTTGGTCTTCCTTGGCGTGATGATCTGCTTCGCTTTGTGAGGATACGCTATGTTGATGTATCTCTCCGCAGTGATGAAGGCCATGATGAGACACGCAATCCTGGTGAAGCAGACGTTAGGCCAGCCCGTAATGAGGTACTGGACCTCCCTGGTGTTGACTGGTAAATCCGAGAACTCCACCCACGGGTTCAACCAAATAGAGTATTCAAACAACGTGATCAGAGTCAAGAGGTCGGCTAATGACAGGGCGAACATACTGAAATTGGTTGTAGATTTGAGTCCCAGCTTGTAGAACACCACCATGTTGATGATATTGGATGCGATCCCAAACACAGACAGGATCCCTCCTAGGATGACGTAATTTATTAACTCAGTCGCCAGTTGCACATCCTTGTTTATTATAGTATCTCTTGGGTCGTTTATACGCACCATTTCTTACACGATTGTTTCTATATTATGATTTCCCAGAACTTTCTGGAGTTTCCTGTCTAAAAATACAAAACAACAATGAGAATTCGTATTATAAATTATTTATAATTGAAGAATAGTTTTCTCCGAATAAATAACAAAAAAAATGACAATAAACACCTTGTAAAAACTCTATAATTTAGTTAGGCCAACAGACGAGTTCAATCTTAATTAAGATTTTAATTAAACGCGTACATGTTTTAAGTTTTTACTATTAAAATGTTTATCGTAATGAAAAAAAAATTAAAATATAAGTTTATACTGCTAAAGGTTATAATTTCCTTAAATATTTTTATACTTGTCCAAATTACGACTTTATTGTCAAATTATATTATAATCAAATCAGTCACAAACACAATTTGCATTAAACTAAGTTTTGTCATAGTAATCATTATACTTGTTTTGGGTCCTAAAGGACTATAGCGCCTTTAACATTTAGCCTTTGTGAAAACTCCCGATGTGCAACTGATACTATTTTTAGTTTTCTCAGATCTGTCCGATTTTTCACACACCTCCCATAGTTTTCAGTCCCGCATCATCCAGTTTTCTGTCAACACACCTACCATAGTTTAATGTCCACACACCTCCCATAGTTTCCTGTCCACACACCTCCTATAGTTTCCTGTCCACACACCTCCCATAGTTTCCTGTCCGCACACCTCCCATAGTTTCCTGTCCACACACCTCCCATAGTTTTCTGTCCACACACCTCCCATAGAGTTTTGTCCACACATCTCCATGGTTTCCTTTAAACACACCTCCCATAGTTTTCTGTCCACACACCTCCTAAAGTTTTATGTCCACACACTTCCCATAGTTTTATGTCCACACACCTCCCATAGTTTTCTGTCCACACACCTCCCATAGTTTTCTGTCCACACACCTCCCATAGTTTCCTGTCCACACACCTCCCATAGTTTTCTGTCCACACACCTCCCATAGTTTCCTGTCCACACACCTCCCATAGTTTCCTGTCCACACACCTCCCATAGTTACCTGTCCACACACCTTCCATAGTTTTCAGTCCACACACCTCCCATAGTTTTCTGTCCACACACCTCCCATAGTTTTCTGTCCACACACCTCCCATAGTTTTCTGTCCACACACCTCCTAAAGTTTTATGTCCACACACTTCCCATAGTTTTCTGTCCACACACCTCCCATAGTTTTCTGTCCACACACCTCCCATAGTTTTCTGTCCACACACCTCCCATAGTTTTCTGTCCACACACCTCCCATAGTTTTCTGTCCACACACCTCCCATAGTTTTCTGTCCACACACTTCCCATAGTTTTCTGTCCACACACCTCCCATAGTTTTCTGTCCACACACCTCCCATAGTTTTCTGTCCACACACCTCCTAAAGTTTTATGTCCACACACTTCCCATAGTTTTCTGTCCACACACTTCCCATAGTTTTCTGTCCACACACCTCCCATAGTTTTCTGTCCACACACCTCCCATAGTTTTCTGTCCACACACCTCCTAAAGTTTTATGTCCACACACTTCCCATAGTTTTCTGTCCACACACTTCCCATAGTTTTCTGTCCACACACCTCCCATAGAGTTTTGTCCACACATCTCCATGGTTTCCTTTAAACACACCTCCCATAGTTTCCTGTCCACACACCTCCCATAGCTTTGTGTCCACAAATCCGCTATTGGTGTTTGTTCTCTATTTTGTAATGACATTGTATTTACAATATACTCATTAGGCATTTATTTATAAAGACCTTGATGCCATTGGTTGTGCTTGTTGTTTTTCACGTTTTATCTGGATTCTTATTACGTTTGACGTTTGACATTTTCTAGGTTGTTGTTTTTTGTTCATTAATTTTGAGTTTATCTTTTTCCTTGTCTTGTCCAAAGCTTTGACTTTCTGCTATGTGTCTAGATATGTGAGGGATATTAATGCTATATCAGCAGGCAATTCCGGATTTTTTGTTGTGGGATGGTCATTTTCTTTGCCTGAATTTGCAAATCCCCCTTTCGTGACCCATTCAAAACTAAGAGGAACAGTTTTGTTGAGAGGCGACCCGCTTATAAATCCAGATGTAACACGCCTTTCCCCAGACAGTATGCCATTTTGTAGAAATTAACAGGTAAAGTCATCATACTACTTTGGCTGTGATTCCATTGTGTCTCATGTGTGACGATATTATAGTGGTCAACACAAGATCGTCCTATTCTTAAAACTGTCTGTTCTTAACATAGGTGTTCATTACTTGCTTTTTTTCCTATTCTAATAAAAACGTTATTTAGTACTGCTAAAAAGCTTGTTTGGTGCTGCTAAAAACCTTGTTTGGTACTGCTATAAACCTTGTTTGGTACTGCTAAAAACCTCGTTTAGTACTGCTAAAACCTTGTTTGGTACTGCTAAAAACGTTGTTTGGTACTGCTGAAAACCTTGTTTGGTGCTGCTAAAAACCTTGTTTGGTACTGCTAAAAACCTTGTTTGGTACTGCTAAAAACCTTGTTTGGTACTGCTAAAAACCTTGTTTGGTACTGCTAAAACCTTTGTTTGGTACTGCTTAAAACCTTGTTTGGTACTGCTAAAAACCTTGTTTGGTACTGCTAAAAACCTTGTTTGGTTCTGCTAAAAACCTTGTTTGGTACTGCTAAAAACGTTGTTTGGTACTGCTGAAAACCTTGTTTGGTGCTGCTAAAATCATTGCATGGTACTCTGTGATAAGTTCCCGTTCTTTAGTATTTTTATCAATAAGCCATTTCTTCTATTCTGATGGTGGCATTTTTATGTTGACCACGTTTTGTGAAACAATTTCGGAAGTTGGTTAGCTATTATTTAACTTTTTTTTTCTTTTGGTACCTCATGTGTTATATTGTCTACGCCTTCAGCTTTGCCCTTCCTTATTTTGCCGAATGCTATCTATATTCCTTCATTGCTTATGCCCTTCATATTAACGTTTAGAGTACTTGCAGTTATTAGATCAATGGGATTTAGAGGTATGTGACTGTATCAATTTAAAAAAAATGTCTTTCCATCTTCAAAGCTGATGATTTATAGATTTTAAAAATGTGCTAGGTTATTATATATGGTCTGCATGTAAATCCTTAGGGGTCGTCCATAAATGACGTCACACTCGTAGGGGGGAGGGGGTCCATAACTGTGTGTACGGTGTGTGATGAGGGGGAGGGGGAGAGTCAGATGGTGCGACGTCACATTTTTGCATTACAAAAAAGCAATGTTAGAAAACGAATTTTACACGTCATTTCGCGTTTTAGAAAACTGTTTAAATAAATTGTAATAGGAATTTATTAAAATACTCTTTTTTGACTCAGTTCAGACAAGATTTTAGAAAAATATTGATGTTTAAAAAAAAATTCAACTGCCCTTTTGAGGGGGGGGGGGTGTAGGCTGACGTCCTTTTAGGGGGGGGGGTCTGGCTTTTTGTGACGACGTGTGACGGAAAGGAGGGGGGAAGGTAAAAATCGTCAAAAAAGCGTGACTAGTGGTTTTTAACCTGAATTCTAACGAACCCCCAAGGCAGAGGCGTAGCGACCCTTCCCGGGGACAAACTTTCAATTTGGCGCCCCCCTTGGGAGCAAATTTTCAAGTATTTGTACCCCCCTCAAACTTTCGATTTGCACCCCCGTCTCAACTTTACAGTTTGCACACCCTCCCCCTTCAACTTTCCGATTTGCACCCCCCCCCCCCCCCCCTCAAACTTTCGATTTGCACCCCCCCCCCCCGTCAAACTGAAAAAATGCAGCTAAAATGACATTTTAATTTGTTTTTACAACCCATTTTGGCGCCCCCCAAGGTCGGCGCCCGGGGACATATGTCCCCCATACTCCCCCCCCCCCCCTCATCGCTACGCCTCTGCCCCGGGGTTCGGTGAGTCAAGATACACGCAATTGGATTTTGTCAGTGCGAACTATTAAGAAGGTTTTGGTCAATGCGCTCGTGAAACTGGTGGGGTTTGTTACCTCCAAATAGTTTAAGAACCACTGTCTTCGACTTTTCCAGTTTAATTTAAACCCAATACGAACAGCATATTTGTATATAATTATGTCACCCTTATTAGCGTTGGTCTCATCTAACAGATTTACAAGCATTTTATTATGATTATGTACACATTAGCTCGCATGACTTAACCAATGGTAACTACCACATGGCTGTCTCCGGTGTCAGATGAAGTAGACTCCATCTGTTTCAGAGACCTCGGCATATTATACCCACCCCCCCCCCTTCCCCTCAACGTGAGTTTGATCTTTCCATACCTTAAGAGGTACCCATCAGAGCTGGGTTGACTCAGGGACATTCTACTGCCTTGATACCGGATTCGAACCGCTAGGCCACTCCGTCCCATATTGGCTACATAGTACATATAAGCCTTATAACATTTATGTGTGTATATCTTGGTTTTTTTAGTCGTATCTTTTATTTATTCAATAATTAATAATTAAGTCTACCATTTAAAATTCGAAGATCTAGTAATTCGGTATAAAATCACAATATTGTTATAAATAATAATTATAAACAACTTCCTAATTTTAACATCCCTACTAGACCTAACTTTATGATCATATGATCGTCGACTTCGATTGTAGATCCATAGGTGGAGTGGCAAACTACACTTCTCTCAAATCAAATTCTCCTTACTAATTTATGTAGACAAACAGGAAATAATTTTCCGGAAGTTTTTCAAAGGGAATTAATTGTTTAGTTTTTAAAAATAGCGTCAAAAATTGAAACAAAACAAAATAGGAATAATACGGACAATGAAAAACTTTATATTTACTCAATCATTGGTGGACAAAGCATCGATTTAGTCGTTGAAAGACTAACTTTTGATCATGATTGTTTATTTACAACATGGCAGATCATTGTTAAATTCATTGCGTAATATGCCTACCAGTGTTCATTTCAGACATTTTTCTCCGGGGGAGGTGGCGCTTCAAACTTTCCGGGCGGGTGGGAGGTGTAATAGATTGAGTTAATTGTGAGGTCAAGGGAACTCACTCTCTGTATTA